CGCGAGGAAGCCAAACGTCGACACGCACTTCATCCCCCTGAAGGTCGACGTGTAGGAAGCACCCAGATCTCTTGTTTTTTTTCCCCTTTGTCGCTCGGCCAGCTGTAGGCCATGTAAGGAAGAGGGGTGGGGGCGATGCATTCGTACAGGCTGGGATTCGGTCAGGTAGAGAGGTGGCTGCCATCGAGGAGGAGGCCTAGTAAGCAAGTCGAGGCAGTGGCGGATCAAATTTCTCCGTCCATCGGCCATCTCATTGTCATCACTCCATCTCGAGTTTTCCTTGGTCCCATCACAATATCACACACAGGTAGTAGTAGTTGCCTCTATGCCATAATGGACGAGAAGGGGTGGCCTTTACGCTACGCCTTTTCATGAGTATTGCAGACAACTCTATCGAGAGAACATACACAGCGTCTCTGGTTTGAGTCATCACAGTCACAGTTCTTCAAATATCCCTGCACTAAGCATGGATGGCCGTGTCCATCTCGAATGGTCGTAAACAACATCTTGGTATGTGGTATCATAGTTGCGCACTTCCTCCCTCAGTGACTCTCGCGCCTCTACACTAGATTGTCTGCGCCTACGTTATTCACGGCCCCCCATAATTCACACCTTCTGGTATCAACATCGTTGCGGGAGGCTTCCGTTCGTCCTCCATTTCCGAATCTCTTTCTTCGTGCACCGAAACAGTGCCGGTATTCTCAGCCAAAGATGAGCCTGTGCGCATGGACGGCGTTGTCGCCGGCACGATGACATTTAGTACACAGTCATCGAGATGCTCGTAGAAATCCTGGGCCGTGTTAAATTCAGCATGGCAGATGGAGCACCGGGCTCCCTCTTTGACTGTAGCGCTGGGGCCTGCACCACTGGCGACAAACTTTCGGCTGTTGGGCGGTGTCTGCTCGACGTTGTGTACAGACGTCAGGTGTCTTTTGAAGACATCAGCCCGATTGAAAGCCTTTTCATACGCCGAACCGATCCCGGGACAAAATGGACAGATCATCGTTCCTTTGTAGTGTGTCAAAGCATGTCGGTTCTTGTCGTACTTTCGCGCAAAACCTTTCGTGTGATACTCGCACGTGTCGATTGGACACTTCTCGGGTCGTTCCTCTTGGTGTGTAAGCATGTGTGCTGCCAAGTCTTTGAATACCTTGCCACAGTCGGGGTGTGGACATCTCGTCCTGTTCTCAAAAGGCCGGGCGGAAGTGTTGCCCTGCTGCATGGGCTCTAAAACCTCCAAGGATGATGGAGGCGCTGGCATCAGCCCCCGCGCCGGTGCCGGAGCCAACGGCGGGACAGAGAGCGTTGGCGACTCAACCCGACTTCGAATGTCGTAGTCATTGTGCGGCTTATAATCACTTTCGCCCTCGCCTTCGTCGCCGCTGGAGTCATCTTGTTGGTCCTCCTGTACATCCACTGACTGCCGGATTTCTTTCATCCAGTCTTTTAATATCGTCATCGGTGGCCAATCGCCGCTAGCCTTACCGCCCCTGTGAGGATTGAAGTGGGCACGACGAAGGTGTGCCGCCGCGTTGTAGTATGCGCCATACCTCTTCTGCGTAATGCATGCCTTGCATTTCGCCAGCGGCACAACGGGTTTCGGCACGGGAGATGCGTAGCCGTCAGGCTCTGCACAGACCCATCGTTTGACCATGGCGGCATGTTTCGCATCGGTGTGCCTTCGCAACTCATGTTCGCCCCTAAAGCCTTCGGGATATTCGTTGCATTTGCTGCAGTAGACCCTCCGTAGAGGTGTCCGTTGATAAGATACCCTCCCCCGACTATGCAGCGTTGGCGGGTCTGATGGCCGCGAAGACCCCTGCCGTTGGAAGGGGGGGCTCTTGTTCGCATTCTGTCTCCGGCTGGTGTGGTCATAACCAATGGGCGATACCAGGTGATCGACACTAGTTTGGGGCATGAATGAGTCTCGATCGGGCAAGATCTGGATGCTCGGGATCCAAGGCTCGCCCGCGCTTCGAGAGTTGGACAAGAGCGTCTGGGGTTCATCCATGGGCCTCGCACTCAGCGCGGGAACAACAAAGCGATCACTGTATGGCCACGTTGTGGGTTTGAGAAATCCAACGTACGTCGTATTGCCTTCGACTGCACCACTGCCCAGCCGGGATAGGAAGTCACAGCAAGACCAGACACCTTGAGCGGCCCACTGGTGTCTCTGGATGATCGTTTCCAGTAACCGAAAGGCGGCGCTGCACGATTCGATTTCTGGAATAGTTGGGTCATCAAAAGGTGTAGCACCCATCGACTTGCAGCTGATAATCAGGAGTTTGTAAACGCTGTCGCTTTGAGACAGGCCCGCGAAAGACACGTCCTGTTTCAACCCTTGTTGTGGCAAAGCATGGCGTCGTGGTAAAGCCGTAAGTGTGTCGGCAAAAATGGTTCGGATGGCACTGAACAGGCAGACAGACATAAACATGGCAAGCGACGTTTTGAAGTCAAACCTCTCTCCGTGTAATGCCGCGGCTTCGAAGGCCTGTAAGAACTGCGTTAAGCAATCATACAGGAGCTTATAGTGGCCATCGTAATCAACGTCCTCCGGGATTTGATGCGGGATTCTGGAGCCACCACGCAGGTGTATAGATGGCGATTGCTGTTGCAAATTCCAAAACACAGCTTCACGCAAGAGCAGCTTCGCGCGGTAAAGCGCTGGATATGCCGTCTTCTCCGCCTCTCTGCTAGCAGATAGTTGTCCGGTGGCTTTCAAGAAGTGCATGAGGTTGTACGCAGTGTTGTCTGTGTTCCAGCTAGCAAATAGTATGGCCAGAATAGGCGGTGGTCGGCTTGTCGATTCTCTCGAGTAGTGTGCCAGATTGGAGTTGTGTGACGACACACTGGCCAGCTCCTCCGCTGACCAAAACCCATCATCGAAGTCGAGATTTGCTCTGAGGTCAACAAGCGTTGCAACAGATATCGAATACGTCTTTTCGAGGTGGTCATTGATATTTCGGCGCTGAGCGAGCGGCGAGGTTAAAGGCGTTTGCATCTGCCTTGGCGTCGCAGGAGCTGGAAGGTGTAAGAAGAAGAAGGCGACTGCGCATTCAACAGGACTTACCTGCAAGAAGCAGATCCGAGACATTCTCAAGGGGGCCGCGATGGCACCCCAAAAGCTTGTGACCATCATTGCCAGGCTGTTGGAGTTGTTTTGCACAATGAGAACAAGGGTCGACGGCATCGCACTGGGAATTGTGAGTCCGTGAAAACGGGGGGACGCAGTGCCCGTGGAGACCTACAGACTGATGCAGTATTCGGCATTGTAAGCATGATCCTGCATCCGGATCCAGCTTTAGTTCGCCGATAGATTGCAGTCGAGGTTGGCCAACCCGACTTCGCGCCAGAGGTGGCAAGTGGGAGTCGAGATCGGCGTAGATTGCTTGCCTTGCTGACCCTGGAAGGTCGCTAGAGCCTGGTCGAGTACTGAGAGAGTCGGATCGGTCTCTTGGCAGTAGTGAAGTTGCTATTGGGGGTAGCGTGTGAGCGGGATGCGGCCTAGGGAGCTGCTGCATTGTTTGCGGTTGGGCCCTGTTGCCCGGTTGCTCATACGTCGAAGGGTTAGGGGCGGCTGGGAGATCGGAGAAGGAGAAGGACGCCGGACCGCCGATGGAGAGCCCCGAGTCCCGGTGCTTGGCCATGTCATGCCCTCTGGCGTGAGCATTCCGATCATCCTTTCTGGAGAACCCGTAGATGTAATGAGGGCAGTCCTCATCCCAACATTTGAACGATGTGAAGTTCAAGGAGGACGGGCTTGGTGCGGTGGCTCTCATGGACCAGGTGCGGAAGACTGGGTCATACCGCGCAAGGTTTTGGTCGAGCCAGGCGGCATAGCCGACTGGGGCAAGGTGCTCGACAGGCCGCCTGAGGGCATCAATGAACGTGGGGTTGGTGAGATTCAGACCTAAATGGTGGGTGTGTCAGGAGGGAATGGTAGGTAAAGCCGATGTCGCACAGCCGATACCGTGCAGCAAACGGAGAAATTTGTGAGGGTAAGTGGGTTGTACCTTGGTCCAAAATGGCGGCCTCGATGCACTCACAGCGATACTGCAGTGATCTTGCTTCCTCGGCCTCGCAAAGAACAGGGGCGACAGGTAGTTGCTCTGGTGTGAGAAAAAAAGGCGTGTCAGGTCAAGCTCACCAAGGTAGACGATGCAGCTAAGGCGGCTTTCTCGAGGTCTTTGGCGTGCTTACCGTGGTGATGTACATAGGCATGGAGGGCTCGCAGCTTGTGTCGGAGCATGGAGAGCTCAAGCTTCACATTGTGACGGTAGGTGGCCGGTAGGAGATCTGCGAGTTTGGCTTGAATCTCGGCCTGTTGATGGAGGAGCTGCTGAACGGCATCGTCGAGGGCAACTGGGCGCTGAGCGGTGTGACGAGACCCCTCAGTCGCCATGCCGCTGCCGCCGCCGCCGCCGTTACTGTTGTTGCTGCTACTGCTGCTGTGTTATTTGTCTGCTGTCCAGATGCCTGGAAGCGGGTGCCGGTTCGTGCTGGTAGGGTCATCAATGGCTGAAGGCAGCTGTAACCCGAGGCATCGTTGGGTTTTCTTTCTCTCCTGGTTGTGTGCGTGTGTCTCATATCAGGTGCCTAGGGAGATCAAGCTCGAGGTCGAGGTCGAGGTCGAGGTCGAGGACGGGGGCGATAGCGAGGCCGGGGGCGAGAATGGTGATGAAGATGAGAACAGAAGCAAAGTCGGGCGACGTGGGGTCATTGAGGAGGATGACTTGGATCACGGCGACCTACCTCATGAGTATCCTCGGTGGTTCCTGCGTGGTCCTGACAAGGGTTCCCACGCGAGGATTCGCGGCGAGGGAAATGGCGTCCTGAACGCTGGCAGACAGGCGCAGCGGCAAAAAGGAGACAAGCAAACAGGGTCGCACTGGCGGGCGGCAAGTAGGCCGAAGGACGAGATGCAATGGTTGATATTGCGAGAGTGCTCGGCGCCAGCACCTCCTCCCTGTTTGGGCTTGAATGGGATATGAGGGACTGGGGAACTGCAACGAGAGCGTGTACCTGTGGCGAGAGGGAAAGGCACGGTACGGTACTGCAGCAGCAGCAGCAGCGTTGCTGGGCTGGGGAAAGAACAGCCGTCTGTACCTTCCTACCACAGGACAGGCAGCGCAATGTCAAGATGGGATGGACCGCATGGCGGGCCAAGCAAAGGAAGGAGTGAACGAGGAAGCAAGCACCGTGATTGACAAGCCGTGCCCGCTCAGTACGGCCCGTCCACCTTAGCTCAGGTAAGGTACAATGGGGTACCTCCGACTTCCAGTCAACGGCTACAAGCCGCATGTTTGACTGGTCGACGGGACGGGCAGATATGCAAAGCGCGCAGACTGGCGACCAGCATGAGGTCTTCTGATGTCCCAAGGTTCCCAGGTCGAACGAAACGGACCCTTGACATTTGACATGAGGAGGGAAGAATGGACGATGGGGTCATCGGGGAAAGTGGGGCAGTCGGCAGATTGGGGTGGAGCTTGTGATTACTTTGCGCCCTATTTGCACCCCCCGTCGACTCTCCGCCCACTCTCTGTTGTGTTTCCCCCTCACGCTGCTTTCCAGCCACCTGGCACACCATGAAAGCTCACAATCTTCCACAAGGGCAAGACGGGCAGGCGCCTTGCCTCGGTCAGGTTGAAGTGGGACAAACGTAAGGCAGTGTACCTGAAGGTAAGGTAGGGACCCCATGCGCAGTAATGTTGCCCCCCCCCCTCCCAATCACTGTCACCCCCTCTCTTCCCTGTCTCTTGCTCACCCTCTCGCTGTTTGGTTTCTACACTCATTGATACCCGAGTTGATACCTTCCGAGCTTGCTCCCCAGCTTTCCAGGTACGTTTCCCACAACGACAAGCGCCCAGGGTGCCTAAGCCCTCATTTCGAGTGCAACACTTCTCCGCATCTTATCACAGACCCCTGGCACGCACTCACCTCATGGCAGGCTGGCAGATATATGTACCACACACACAGAGGAAAAAAGCACGTTATCGGCAGGGCAATGGTGCGCTAACGGATGGCGCGGGACTGGTGGGGACCCGCCACCTGGAGCGCATGGACCATCAGCTGCCCAGGGCACCAAGCCCGTTTTCTGTCACGACCCAGTTGTCTCGGTACTCATTGTAATCTGACCCCCGAACGCCGCACTGGGCGGAGAAACATCTGGACGAAACAATTCATGGGCACCGTTGCTGCTCTCTAAGCACCTTCCCACTTGGGCCGGCTGAACAGCCCTACTTGGGGGGGGATGATGGTCTCGAGCAGCGAGTGCGCCAGTGGACCATTCCCGTCGGGTCAAGCATTGTTCATAAGTCAGCACTCGTTGCCCCAGCGCGTCGGGCCTCATCTCGAAAGGTGGGTAAGTGTGTAGCCGGACGATGGTTTCCAAGTCCGCTGGCCCGCCCCGTTCCCCTAGTACTCTTGCAGCTCCTTGTTGTAGCCGACAGTGCGTGTTTTCGAAGAGAGAGAGAGAGAGAGAGAAAAGTTCTCTTGTTGACCTGACATGGTACCTAGGTAGGTAGGTAGGTAGGTAGGTACTCGAAGGACAAGGGCATTGCTTGTGCCAGGCGGGCGCATCCAACCTCCGACACGGGGCTGGTCCCTGCTTTTCCTCGTTTTCTGCTCCTGCTCGTAGTCGCCATTGCTCCGGTGCGCCTGCCGCCTGTGGCACATCAGCCATTTCAACGTCTTTGGGCCTACGGTTGGAGCACGATAGCACTAGCGCCTTGGCCTCTGCCGCTCCGTTCGCAACAATGTCCCTTTCCTGACCTTCTCTTGTGGAGGGGGGCCTGGTCATGTTTAGGCCTCCTGTCGCTGCGCAATGTCAGGCAGGTAGGTTACCTCATGTGCCTAGGTGCCTCCTTGTGCCTCCTTGCAGCAGCTCTAGCTCCAGCTTCAGTTCCAGCTCCAATGCCAGCTCGAGCTCCATCTTCCCAGCTCTAGTCTGAGCCCAGCCCCAATCCAGCTCCACAACTCAGTACAGCTGTTGCCCTGACTTTAGCGGGTCTGCTCCGGCTCAGAGTGTCGACCGTGTCGGCGCCGAGCACCACATCTGGCACCCCCTCCCAAAAAGACCCCTTCACCTCCTCCACCTCCTCTACCTCCACTGTTTGCACTGACTCACTCTGCGGGCTTATTGGCGATGCTTGAGTTCTATGCACAGCATTCACGCCAGTAGCAACAGCTACCGAGGATGCGACCCCATGACGGTGACCCGAGTCGGCAATGGTTCCGCTGATGGGATGGGCACCTTCTGGCCGGAACTAGCCTTGGATCAGAACGAAGACAACAATAGAAAGCCATGGTAAAAAATGGTACTGCGCGGCCTCCTTCTTGGATGCATGCACTGGCAAGCAAGGTGAAGGAGGCCCTCACTCGTCACCAGCTCGCTTTCGCTGCCCCGTCACTAGGCTCCAATTCGAACGCCTCACATGCAGCAGGGGTTTCGACTTATCTCGGGTGGTGGGATACACTCGTCTACTTGATCCTAAATTTCGCCGAACAGAGCCGTTGCCGGCCGCAGGACCAATGCCGGCAGCTACCCAGCTAGTACTGCACCTGTTCACCAGGGCATTTCAATCGCTCTGCGCTTGTTCTTCTTCGCGCGGCCGCCTTGCAAGCCCCGCCTCTTCCCGACCCAGACGCGAGAAAAGAGAGTAGAAGGGTCTGGTTCCTCGAACTCCGTCATTGTGTTTCGTCTGCCTGGCGTCGATCGCCAGCTCTTCAATACTGCCCCTACCTTACGATGGGGCTGATCCGAGAAGCCCACGGGCTACTACAGGGTTCCCCTTGCGGTGCCCAGAGGATATCCGAAAAACAATTTGATCGTCACCCGCTGCGCCAACGGCGTGGCTGTGAACCCCCCCCCCCCCCCTTTGGGGGGGACACATGGGCGCGGAAAACAACACACCACCCACAAGTCACCACGGCGGAGCGCACGAATCACAAGCACCTGAGGGAACCGGCCGGCCGGGTTTGGAGACACGGTATGTCATGGGTCGCCTGGCCAGGAAAGGCACCATCTTGCCAGCTTGCACTCTACGCGAATCGCCTAGCCTCGGTCTTCTGATGCTTCATTCTGCAAGGAGCAGTCGCGGACTTGGGACATCCCCTGCCATTCTTTGCATGATGCGTGCCGTTGCCTGTTCCCGGGTTCGAGAGCGCAAGGAGGACTCATCAATAAAGTAAAAGAATCGTGTCATTGTCAAAGCTTTTGCCTCTGGCCGTGGCCGTGGAGCCCGAAGACCTTGCTGAAGGCAATGATTATCGTCACCTGTCGCTACATGCTCTTCGAACACTCTCTCAGCTACGCAAAGATGACTGCCCTGCGAAGAAGCCTTGCGGTGAGTTTGGAGGGCGATGGCTGATGGCTTCCACTTGCGATCAATATTGGTTCTCATGGGGGCATGGCCCTCGTCGAAGTCAATAGATTAGGCTGCTTCTGTGCGACAAAGCATCTCATGATGCATTTACCAGTTTGATGTAGCCTCGTCAAGCTCTGTATCGCCTCAACAGCTGCGCTAGGTTGATGCTCATTAGATACCCGCGCCGCAAGGGGGACCAAACCATCGAACCCAGGGTAACGGTCAGACCTTGAAAGCACCCTCAGCGTATCATCCTCGAGTCAGGGGACATGGCACAACAAACACCACTCACCAATGTCTCCCACCGAACCGGCGGTCGATGCCCCGAGCGCACATGGCGTCTTGATGCCAGGGGAGAGGGTGTCGATGGTACCTGCAACTTGCTCCACCGACTTTCGGCAC